TTTAAAAAAAGGAACATAAGAGACTTCTTTAGACGAGACAAACTTCAAGTTACTCAAAGCGATGCGTAATATTTCCTTTTCAAACACCTGAAACTCACAGAACTGCCGTCTCTGACACCTTCATCATCATCATCATCATCATCAGCAGCAGCATGAATTTTTGTTTTTTTTTAATTAGTACGGGCTCAGAGGATGTTTGGATAAAGAAAAAAAGAGCAGAAGATTGAGGAGGAACTGTAAAATCAATGCCAAGATAATTTATGTAATGCCCTTTGACTCAATACAGCCGCTGTGTCACAGAGTCCTGAGCTTTTTAAAAGCATTTCAACTTGAGAAGAAAAAAATCACTGATCCAGCATCAGTTTCTGCTGCTTTCAGAGAAAGTGTTGGATGAATCAAAATGCTTTTTATTCTTTTAATTCTTAAAAACGCATTAGTGTTTATCATTTACCAACAATGCAGTGTATAATCTACCTCAATAGAACCACAATACCTCATTTAATGTAATGCTTATAAAGCTGCTATCATGATAAACATGGCTAGAAAGAATTATTATAGTCGCTATGGAAACTTTGCTAGAGAGATGCTGACTCCACAAATGTATTTCTGTGCTTCCCATAAGAAACTTCTGCTTTCCATGGGACGAACGCCTATGTATAAATAAAGATCGGAGGTGGTGAGAGTTGGTGGTGTCGTCTGTGGTTAACCCCCAGTCAGCAGCACGAGCGCTCGCTTGCCAACTTTAAAACCGTATTCTTGTCTCGACTCAGTCATTTCAAGGTTTTAACGGGTTGTTGTCTTCTGGGCTGAACGAACGGGTCATTGTCTGCAACAGAAAGATTCTACATCAATTCCTATGGGAATCAGAGAACATCTGTAAATGGGAATCTGGAGCCCCAGAATGACACCCACACAAGCCCAGGAAAGCCTCCAGGAACCACTAATTTGCATTTACCACCAATTTTCAAAAGTTTACCACCATTATTTCAAAATATTTGCACACTTTTGTGTATAACTACACTTTTGTAGTTATAGTACTTTGGATACTTAAGTAGATTTTAAGGCAAATACTTTTGTACTTTTACTCAAGTGAAATTCTGAAGGGAGCACTTTTACTTTTACTGGAGTAATAAATATTTCACAGAGTATACCGGTATCTTCAGTTTAGCTCAAGTACTTGCTTTCTGTACTTTCTCCACCACTGATCGGCCGTATTTCCTCCTGTTCCGATTGTACGAGTTGTGTGATCGATTACGGAAGATCAAGTGAAGCGTCTGAGACTGAAACGGATTCATCACATCTGATGTTATTTGTTTATTGTGTGCGAGTGTTCATCTTCCCTTCCCACAGACGTACTCCGCGTTTCAGGGGACTGATGAACCATTGTTCTGCATTTATTTTCTTTGTTTGCTTCATCTAAAACTGTCTGGATCTTTTTTTTGCACATCCGTCAGTTGTTGTCGTGACCCCCCCAAACATTACATTGTGCCAAACAAAATCTCACTGGTTGTTTCACATTGGCCACATGGCCTCGCTGTCAAGAAATCCAGAGCTTCCCCGAAGATCCAGCTACGAGAGACGACACCCAGAGACGAGCTTGAAGATCTGAGAACTCTGCTAATAATAAAGATATAGATTTTCATCCTCTGATTGTTCCGATCAATCGACTGAAAGTAGATCCACGCTTCATTTTATGTTAAAATGACAATAGTTCCAGTGTTGCCAACTCCTCGGTAAGAAAAGTTGCTCGTGGCTGACCCAAAAGTCTCTAGATGATGTCATCATCTAATTTGCATAAACATCATGTGACGTGTGTGCCATATAATCCCAAACGGGTTTTTATCCGTTGGGGATTTATGCCAAAAAAAAAAGTCTTGCATGTACATGTGTTCCATGTCATTATTAAATTAAACACATGGGGTTATAAAACAAATGTAATGCTAAATAAAAATAATAATAATAATTAAACTAAGAACAGGATGTTTTTTTTGTCAATCAGTTTGGCATAAAATTCTTGCAAATCTTGCAATTTGCCCTTGAATCATCCCCAAGAAAAAACTTTAACCAACCCTTGAATGATTCCCACTCGTTTCTGAAGCGATGTGTGTGGAGCTTGAACGAAACGCAGGCAAAGCTAACGATGTAATGCCGTCACAGAGGATCACACGCCGACGAAGCGAGGTGAGTGACATCCAATATCTCATTCAACTAAGAAACATCGAGATAAGATCTTCTGGATTTTCACCCAGCCCTACCAGGAACGAACATCCTGCTTTTCCAGGGGTTCGAACCTGTAACCTTCGTGCTGAGCATCAGGAATGATTCTGCTTACATGAATCCAGTGAGAGATAAACGCCAGAAGTCCTTCTATGGTTGAACTATCCCTCAGAACTTTTTAAAACTTGGTGGACATTCCAGTGTTACAAATCACACTTCCTACTCAATTCCTAAAAAATAAGTTACACATTCACATTAATAATAAATCTAACAATCGCTACATGTGACTTTTGTTGTCTCTTTAAGAAGCAAAAACATACACTTTGTGATCAGTATCTAAGTCACAAATCTGAACAGTAGCTCCTGAGAGAACACTTATCCAACAGAACAGGATACAATAACAAAAACAACCAGAAAAGGAATGAATAAACGAACAAAAATAAAACGCACTACGGTTTATTTGAGGACTATTCTATATTGAGCACGGGCTGGAGGGACTTTTTAAATATCACAAAGATTTTACAAGTCTACACTCCTGAATACACATGTAAGCAATTATAAGCCATTTATTCGAGGACTCAAACAGCCGCCCAGGTCGCGTTCAGAAATATTCGTCAGCCAATGAGACGACTGAAAGATCCGTCAAAACCACGTAATGTCCAATCAGCGGCGAGGGAAGGCGGGACAACTGGCTACACATAGAGGAAGGCTCGCGATCCTCGTTACAACCACAATATTGCAATACCACTCACACAATACAGCGAAATAAACCGTTTTGTGCATAGCGTTTATATTTTATCAAATTTACCGTTTACCAGCTCCTCTCACGGGGAAATTACGGCGACGAATTACTTCATCCAGGGAGAGATCCGCCATAACTCTTGCGCTCACTGTCTGGGCACTGCGCGTAGGTTTGTGCGCATGCGCATGACTGATAATGGGCGGAGTAAAGAGAAAAGTTACGGCAAATAACGAGGGACAAATACATGGAAATACACAAAACTACCAAAATGAACAGTTATATTCGGTATTTCGGGGTTTTGAAGGATGTTATGAGCCGGTGGACCTTGATTTTCGAAACAAGAGACGATGTGGCTTTCAAAATGACTTCATAAATGTTGAGAGGGTAGATAAACACAAAGCCCCAATCATACTTCAAGTATCTGAAATTTTGCTTGAAACTGAAACGAAGAATACGTGTGGTTTACTGTCCCTTTAAATCTTGATTTCAGTCTTCAAGACAAACTCAACCCACGTGGAACAGATTAATGTAATGACGTCACCCAACATCCCACAATGCACTATACGAAGACCCCATCTCCCGTCCTAAACTAGTTACAGTAGATGAGATTTTGTTAAGATGTGTCGCCTTTATTGTACAATCGCTATTTTAATTCACAGTGATTAATAAAGATTCGGTTTGACGCTGATTCAAACGTTCACTCGTTTCAATCACCGTCTCGGAACTCAGCTGTGCTGGCGGTAGCTTCAGGGAGCGCAGCTGTAAACAGTCATGCCTTAAACTGATGAGTAAGGAAAATAACGACGCGGGGTGACGCCCGTGTCCTCGCTTACACTCGCGAGAAGAATTTTTGAACGGGTACAGGTCTGTCTGCCGGTGACTCACCTACTTTGTGAGATGCCACGTGGAACCAGGATCTGCCCCGATCTCTCCCCACGATGAGTTAAAGTAGAGTCGAGAATAAGATTTTGCCGTCCTGTAGAGCTCGGAGTAGTCCTGTAATGATTCACACCTATGGACACCAAGAACCTGAAACCCTTTGTATTATCTTCTAACAAGCTCAATCCCTCTTAGAGCAGTGGGGTCTGCTGGTGCTTATCTCCAGTGCACATCGGGGTGTAGGGTTAGTTACACCCTGGACAGGTTGCCAGTCTATCGCAGGGCAATTCTCACCTAAGGGTATTTTGGATTATTCAAATAACCTTATCAGATGTTTTTGGATTGCGTCCGATAGGGTTCAAAGTTGCCATGCGTGTTACGAGTCCATGTTTAAATGCATCTAAATAATATCTGACAGTGTCTGTTATAGCGCCACGTAGTAGCAGTATGGGATACCCCATTTTCTGCTGTTATTTCATGCTGTGTTTGAGGGACGTTTAAGATTTGGAACCCTAATGTAAGGGACCAAGAGCAACAAAAAAAGTCTATTGGAGCGAGTTTCCAAAACTGACAGGAAATAAATTAATTTGCAAAACACCTCTAAATTATGTCTGTTTTGCTACTTTATGGTATGCTTTTCCTTTATTACATTTCCCTGCAATGTTCAATCATTTTGACAATCTTAAATAGGAATTTGGCCGTAGTGAATATTGCAACAAAATGGTCAAGTTTTTTGTTGTTGCTTCATTTACAAAACATCCCAAACAGGTACGATAAAGTTTGGTCACATATTAAGCATGACACTTTATTAGGAGTGTTCCCAAGCTTGACCCCTTTCTCGTGCATTTTCCTATTGATATTAAACAAACAATGTGAGCTGAGGACGGCGTTTACAAGCAGGAAACAAGTGTGTAGTTGCTGAAGGTCATGTTTTGAAGCTGGATGTCGAGCGACACTAGGCACCACCATCTCTCAGCACCTGAAGTACGACAACCACATCGACTCCATTGTTAAAAAGGCTGAGCTGAGGATGTTCTTCCTTCACCAGCTTAAGAAGCTCAACCTGCCACAGGAGCTGCTCAAACATTTACATTTATGCATTTGGCAGACACTTTTACCCAAAGTGACTTACATTTGTATGATTGAATAGTGTCAGTTCCTGCTTTCCCTGGGATTTGAACCAACAACCTTTGCGTCGTTAACATAGTGCTTCACCAACTGAGCCACAGGAGAGTTTTATTCAGGCATCATCGAGTAAGTCTGGCACACTTCCGTAGTTGAACCAAATTTCTACCAAGGTTCAGCTACTAAATCGGACATTGGAAGACTTGAAGGATCATTCGGGAGGAAAAGGCCTCAGGAAATCCCTCTGGATCCCTCAAACCTGAACCATACAACACTACAGAGCACCTATCACCAGAACGGCCAGACACCCGAAAAGCTTCTTAATGAGCACTCAAATGCTCAGAATCCTGTGTGCAATTCAGCTTCACTTTACCTAGTCGTCACTTACGTTATTTGTGTTTTTAATTTCTTATCTTTCTCCTCATTTATTTCTTACGTGTTCTTACTGTCACAGCGGCAGATTCCTTGAAAGTGCAAACCTACTCACACACGCAGCTGTTATATATGACTTACTATTTATTTATTTATTATAAACAACAATTTGAGAGTGACTTTTCTGAATTGTATCGTTGGCAGCGTAAATGATCTTTCCCACGGCGTGATGCCAGCGGTCAGTCTGCTCTGTTCCGTGCAGCTGTCAATCACATGGTCCCGCCTAGTTTTCTGGGGAAAATTGAATAAAATAAACATGAACCAAAAGAAAAACTAATGAACTCCTGGTGGCGCTCCTGCTCACTTAATCATATTGAGATTCAAGGCTTCGTTCATTGGAGCAAAATTGCGTTTCCTTGTAAAGTGCTTTTCAAACAAGTACAGGCACTTCGTGTTCATGCAGCTCCAAATGTTGCATTGACTGTATATAACACGTACGGAGCATCAGTGACGTCACACATTGGTTTGAAAACCCCTCAGAGTTTTCATGATGCTCATATCTAGAATCTATATTAACAAAACTATTGGAGCCAGGGGATGAAATGTGAGTTTTTATAGCTCCAAAGTTACCAATTTTAACATTGGAGTGAATGAGAACCTGCTCTGTTTTAGAGACCGTCTCTAGCGGCAGACGTAGGAATTGCAGTTTAAGGCCTATTAGGCTTCAAGAGGGAACGCCAGAGGTTCCCCCTCGATATGTTGCCGTCCGCTTACGAATCACTTGATACGACTACGTTTCCCATGATGCTCTGCTGCGGCACAAAGAAAGCTACGGATCCCTCGTGGTGCCGCGCGCGTCTCAGGCAACATCGCGCGCCATGGCTGCGTCTCTCTCTCTCTCCCTGAAATTACCAGGTGAGTTTTAATAACGGATCACATATTATTCGTCACTGTTAGCCGAACGAGAACTAGTGAATGAACGACCGTTGCTTCCGTTTGAAGTGATTAACGTTACGGACGATACATTACGGATGGTTTCGGAACGGAACGTTCTAACGACGCGATCTGAGGAGTCATAGATATAAATGATCGATAACAAAAGTCATTCAATCAGATGTTCGTCAGGATTAAATGTGTTCGTTTGGACTAAAGTATATAAATAGGTTAATTGTAATATCCAACGAATGAATAATGACGATCTTCACCCAGTGTGCGTCGTCTGACATAAAGTGTCGCGATGTGAATGAACAACACGATATTTAATCGATTATTAATCAAATGAACGGATACGAGCACCGGACTCTGGTAAAATAGCGCGGGACAGCTGTGGAGAAGCGCGCGTCACGTGACCACGTTGTTATCAGTAAACACGACTCGTGTTATGTTCTCTTTTCTCAGAATCACAGGAAGAAAACGCCTCTGATTAATCGATATATTGTTGTTGATTCCTCTTAAAATTCAATTGGCGTCCTGATAATGTAAATATTGATTATCAAGCTGCTCTCAATAACCGTTGCAGGCAAAAAGCTGGCGTCTCTGGGCGAGTACGACCCTCTGTGCCAGGACTCTGACGAGGATGAGGCTTCTGAGGAAGACGACCTTGTGCTCAACTACCCCCGCAACGGCCTGAGTCCCCCACCCAATCAAAGAAGCCGGGGAGAGGGGAATGAGCCACAGAAACTCCGGGAGGAGACAGGGCTTCAGGAGGAGGTGGAGCTGGAGGAGGAAGAGGCGGGGTTGGGGCGGAGCCAATGTACAGGAGAGAAGGGAGCGAGTGTAGTGCAAGGGGCGGGGCTTGTGCGCACCGCAGCATTCCTGCTACCGCTGAGCTGCGCAATGCTGCTGGTGCTGCTGTGTGCCTTCCTGATAACCTGCCCAGAGGGGGCAGCGGAGCACGAGCACTGGGAGAGAGCCCTCGGAGATGGCAACGGTGAGCCTCCGTCGATACGGCCTCACATGGAACCTTTCCGGCTCTCGATGTTTAGAATGTTTGTTTGTTCTTCTTCTCGTCGTACGTTCAGGCGTGGCATCTCCTCCTCTGACATTATGGGATGTGGACGGAGATGGGTTCGACGACGTGCTGATCGGAGTCACAAGCGTCTCAAACAACAGTCAGCCAATCAGCAGGCAGAGTAAAGATGGGTGGAGCCAGGGTAAGATCCGCTGAAATGTTCCCGTGCCTGAGGTGAAGCTTTCAGACGTGTATTTCTCAGGAAAACTCTTATCTGACTCCAGTTTATTAGTATTAACATTTTTGATTTAATTGAAGCTACTGCAAATTATGTGTTTATTTGTAATTAACCCTTTCGTTTAGACCTTTGTATTTTACATTATTGTGGAAAGTGGCATTTATTACTGAGGGCATCAGATACATCTTCTCTAAAGCTGAGAGTGTCAGCAGTCTCTCTCTCTCTCTCTCTCTCTAGCTGAGTGTTCACAGGTCTCTCTCTCTCTCTAGCTGAGTGTTCACAGGTCTCTCTCTCTAGCTGCGTGTTGAGCAGTCTCTATCTCTCTCTCTCTATAGAGCTGAGAGTGTTCAGTGGTGTCTCCGCTCGGCCGCTCTGGTCTCGCTCTCTGTTCGTTGTGGGTTTCTTTCTCTCTCTGATGGACATGGCACCTGTCTGCTGATTGGCTCTGGACATGTGATCGCACTGAATGCCTCCTCAGGTCTCTCTCTCTCTAACAGTTGCATGCTCTGAGCGAGAGACGGATAAGTGACAGTGTGTGTGTGTGTGTCTCAGGCCGGACGCTGTGGGCTGCAGCGCTCAGAGAGGTACAATCTGGAGCGCTCCTGCTCCCGGATCTGGATGCGGACGGTTCTTCAGAGCTGCTGCTCCTCACGCTGCCAGAGGATCAGGTACACCCTCTAGACCAGTGATTCTTAACCAGTGGTGGGCCTCAGAACAGTAACTGTTCCTCGGAGAGTAAAAGGTTGAGGACCACTGCTCGAGGCGTCTAGGTTCAAGAGGGTCGACGAGACGCTCTAGACCAGGGGTCGCCAACCTGGTGCCCGCGGGCATCGCGTCGCTCGCAGTGACCATATCAGTCGACCGCAAGCCAGTTCTAAAAATAGAACTAATCACGAACTATCACTGCCTAAAATTTGAATAAATTGTGTTGCCATTCTTTTTGAATTGCATTTACAGTGATGTAAATTAAAAACAAAACATATAAAAAATATAAAAACTTTTTAAAAAATCATAAAGTAGCAGAGTTCGCTAATAGGAGAATAAGGCAGAGGTCAGTCTAGTGCGCATGACAAACTTAGCCTTGTTCTTGAGCGTTGCGAAGACGAGGATACGAAAGCGGTTTCTACCCACATAAAAATGGTGGAAAAAAGGAAGCAAATGTATTATTTTAATAGTGAATGGGAGGAAGAATTCTTTTTTACAAATATGAAAGAAAAGTGTGTGTGTGTCTTATTTGCGGTGCGACTGTGGCGACGACAAAGCGACACGATGTTGAGAGACTCTTCAGCACCTGTCACAAAAGCTACGATGCTAACTACGCACCCGGCAGCGCTCTACGAAAAGAAAAAGCTTGCGAGTTAAAGGCAGCTTTGGCCAAACAGTAGTCTTTTTTTTTTTTTTTTTACAACGTCGGTGAAAAACTCCCAAAAAGCAACCGAAGAGTTGGTCAACTTACATCCCAGATTACAGTACACTGGTGAAGAGCAAGCAATGCCAGGCTTCCCACTAACACGCAAAGAAACAAATGACAGATGCCAGTCAAATGTCAGTGCCATGGCAAAGATAGATTTAAAATGAATGATAAACTGTTAGAGATGTGTTACTAAGTTTAACAGACATGATTTGTTTTATTGGCTGAAAATGTAGTGATTAGTAAAAATGTGTTAAGATTTATTCTAAAATGAATTGATTTTTGTTAAATCTTAGATTATTGATTATACAGCCCTGCACAGTTTACTTCCAATCTCACAGAGAGACCCAGACCTGAAACTCACAAACAGCCTACAGGACCTAACGATCTGCATCAGGTCTGTTTAGTTGAGGTTGGAGCTAAACTCTGGCCCTCCAGGAAGTTTGACACCCGTCCTAAAGTCTGCGTAGACTATAATAAAATAGCCGTTTCTCATTTTAACGTCAGTGTAGAACTCTGCTGGGAAACCATCGTTCGCTGAGCTCGAGTTTCGTCTGAACGAGGCGCTGAACTGTGACGTCGTGGACACAGGGTCTGACGAGGTTCAAGCATTCGCGAATAGAATAGAACTTTCATATGAAACATTATAGCGTCTGCTCGCTGTGCCACACGCTTCTGGTGAAACAATCGAGTCACTGATTATTGTCTACATTTATTTATCACAATTATATCACTTCGCTTACGATAAACAAAAATCTTTCATTTCATGTTGTATTTTCACAGTTAAGAATGAAACACTTTGATTTTTCAGGTAGTATTTTATAAAACGTAACAATTAAAGCAACTTCCCTCTCTGAGCATTTCCTTTAAAGTTACCGTATTTTTCGGCTCATAAGACGCACTTTTTCTTCCCCAAAACTGAGGGGGAAAAGTTGGTGCGTCTTATGAACCGAATGCAAACCGCCGCGAAGTCCGGTAACGGCCGTATGAGAGGTGTAAGAGCTCCGGAGCTAGGCCGAAGCCGCGGCCATATTTGTTTACCAAGCGCTGCGCGCTGACGTCATCGCCCATCTCTGCCATTGCGCGGACGTAACGAAAACGAGGAAAAAAAATACATTTCCCACAATGCCTTTGGC